TGTCAAGGCATACCTCAAAGATGTGCCGAGCGGGAAGTTCGCCTTACTAATGAACCAACTATCGTCGCGATTACAAGCCGAAGAGAACGACTTTCAGCATCTGCTGATGGAGCTGGTATTCCGCATTTGCGTTGACCACCCATTCCATGGTAAGTCAAATCCCTGTACCGCCCCATCCAAGGAAAAACCTCAATACCCTGGAGACTACATCAAAACAAAACATGCGAAGTGGAGGGCCCAACGTCAATGTCGGCTCCGGGGTGTTGAGGTTCTCCCTTGTGTGGTACGGTTTAACAAGAGATGTGTTGCTGACTTCGTACACCAGGTATGCATCAGATCTTCGCGATTCAGATGAAGGTCGCCGCCACCTCTAGGGAAGATGTCGTTCGAGCCAAGGATGAATCCGCGAAATCCCGTCAGAAAGCCGCGGGTGGCCTTGCGACGGCGCTCAGTACTGATAAGAGGGGCCGATCGTATTGGAGCTCGATCTTCCAGTCCAATGAGATTTACCACCATCTTGCCATGTTCAAGGGCGAGAAGGAGAGTACTCAGCAAGGTCGTGAGTTACCCCTTGATAGGTACAAGGAGTCACGAGACCTGGTGAACAGGGTGCCGAAGCTTAACGTACCCCCGGCTACTCTTCAGATTGAAGTTCGGCCGAACATGAACTACAGCGACTTGCCAAAGATTGCAGGCTTCAAGTCGACCATGACAATAGCGAACGGACTCAGTGCGCCAAAGGTCATCACTGCTAAGGGCACTGATGGCAAACCGTATAAGCAGCTGTTCAAATCCGGAAACGACGACCTACGCCAGGACGCAATCATGGAGCAAGTGTTCGATCAAGTATCGCGACTACTGAAGAACCACACCGCAACGCGTATTCGCAATCTCGGCATCCGCACATACAAAGTTCTACCACTCTCAACACGTTCTGGCCTTATGGAGTTTGTGCAGAACACAATTCCGCTACATCTCTGGGTCATGCCAGCCCACGAAAAGTACTACCCAAGCGACTACAAGCCCGAGAAATGTCGCAAAGAGATCGGCGCATGCCAGCAGGACTCTCTCACCACGCGCGTCAAAGTGTGGCAGAAGATTGCGGACAACTTCCACCCCGTGATGCGCTACTTCCTGCTTGAGCGCTTCGAAGACCCAGACGAGTGGTTTGAACGTCGCCTCGCATACACGCGCTCAACAGCAGCCATCTCCATCCTTGGACACGTCCTCGGTCTTGGCGATCGTCATTGTCACAACATCCTCCTTGATGAGAAGTCTGGTGAGGTAGTACACATCGATCTCGGTGTGAGTTTCGAAGCTGGTCGCGTCTTGCCAGTACCAGAAGTTGTGCCATTCCGACTAACGCGCGATCTGGTGGACGGTATGGGATACACAAAGACGGAAGGTGTCTTCCGCCGATGCTGCGAGTTTACAATGGACACGTTGCGCGAAGAGAGGGAGTCCATCATGACGCTCCTCAACGTCCTGCGATACGATCCCCTCGTCAACTGGAGCGTCACACCCACGAAAGCAAAGCGCATGCAGGAAGCCAACCAGGAAACGGGCGCAAACGGTACCGCGCGTTCAACGACTGTCGCACCGGGAGGTACACCCGCGCCATCGGGTCAATCGGCGGCCGAAGAGGCAGCAGCGGTCGCGCAGGAAGATAACAAGAAGAGGGAGAAGGAGGAACAGGCTGGTGAAGCGGGGCGCGCACTTAGCGTGGTAGAGAAGAAACTGAGCAAAACGCTTAGTACCAAGGCCACGGTGAATGAACTCATTCAGCAGGCTACTGATGAGCGGAATTTGGCGGTGCTGTATATGGGATGGGCGAGTTACGCATAGGCGAGGGGACTACATGGGCACTGCGCAGGAGTGTAGTAAATCATTGAAGGTCATGTAGTCGGCATGCAAGAACGTTTTTATCTGACGGTTCCACATTATACAAGAGAAAACCTAAATAGGTTTGCAGACTACGTTAATATGAACACAGACAAAGTAGGTGACCTGACGTTGACGTAGGCTCCAGGGTGTTCAGCTTTTCCCTCCATCCATGAAGACGCCGAAACCGCACGCATCCTGAATCGCTTCGTCGCGCATAAATTTCAAACCTGTGTTCGTATAGACAATTGCTGGTTTAATGCTTTCCTTGCATGTAGACTACCGGGAAATGCGTTAATGCCGCGGACTCAATTCTCTTGCTGTTTAGATTCTGGGTTTTGTGTGGAAAGTTAGCTTCAGTCCTGCACCCTCACACCGACCACAACAGTCCAACGAAAGTGTGTATAAACGATCATAGAGTCATGTAGTCAAAAAGATAGCGTTGTCCATTACTTTTGAGCTATCAATATATGACATATACTGCAAATGAATGGTCGAGAGGAAAGGACGCAACGAGGCTGCACCTCCCAAACAGGCATATTTCGAGAGGGCGTGGATTGCGGAGGCATACCCCGATTGCACCGGCTGCGTCAACTGGCCAGCGAACAACGTCTTACCTGCGTCTGATCGATGAAGAAGCATTTGCTACATGCAGTGTGGAAGCATGCTACACATTTCAATGCTGCGATTCGTGGGCACACATTGCGCGAGCCTAGGAGATCGCAACTCCGCAGACGCTTTCAACAACAGCGCTTTTTCCACGCGCAAAGAGTCTCAGCAAAGATGCCCACATCAAACAGCTCGCCCAGCGACGCGTCCTAAACAAGCAGTTCGTAGGAGGGGGGTATCGATCGCAGCCAAGCCACGCTCACAGCGACACTTCGCTGTCGCAGGGATGAAGACCTCAGCCCCCTGCAGACAGACCCAGTCGTAGACGTAATGACTCCCAACTAGGTAACTTTGCTCCAGGTGTTGATCGCGGTTGGAGGCCATATCGACGTTCGAAAAGTTATTGCAGTCATGCTGATTGGCTAGATTTGCTGCTAGAGCGCAGTGGGTTAGTGATCTGCTAGTAGTTCCGGGCTAAGATCGGTCGGGTACAGAGCGCTTTTCGTACGTCATGCACAGAGGACTGCAGGACACGGCACGTGAGACGTCTCGTTCAAGTAAGTTTTGAGAAGGTGTTGATGGCGGCAAACTGTTCACGATAGTTCTGTGAGGTTCTGATTGTCCATGGTTACACAAGGATCGCAAGTTGCTCACGATCCAAGATGGCACCGACAGCGAAGTTGTGCGATGAGTCCATTGCCCACAAAGAATGTCGCTTTTGCGAACAGAAGCACGTAGCGTTCCTGTCAAGGCAAGATTTGAAGATGTGTAGATTATGGCACACAGCTTGTTCACATTGCGCAGTTGAATGCCGCCTTGGACATTGAGCCCCTCAATTGGTGAGATAGCTGGCAGATCCCCGTCCAGGCAACTTGCAGGAGGAGCGTGGATTGCGGCGTTGTTCACTAACATTAGGTCGTCATTGCTTGCTACAGGAACTTTGGGTTTGCTGTTGATTGCCGCTGACCTCGGGATATCGCACTTTGTTCACAGGTGGGCTGGGTTGTGGGCGATTCTTCCTGATCCTCCTCATGCTGTTCAGTTTTAAAAAGCGTGATAATGGACAATACTACTCAACATCTTCTCATGGTTTGGGTATACATTCTTGAGGAAGCTGCATTTGAATCGTCTCCAGCACAGTTTCGAGGGTGTGGCCGATTGCAACTGAGGGGGAACACACTGATCCATGGGCATTCCAGAGTGGCAGCTGCCCTCCGAACAGAAGCACCAATCGCTGAAAGTCAATGACAAGGTCTATCCACCCATCCTTCCACTTCAGGCATGTTTGCAACAGCTGTAGATTACGGCCAAGCCTGCGTTCGCGAAAGATTGCTTTCAGACGCCATTCGATTTGATTGGCCTACCACAAGCCTCAAGTCCGAGACAGGCAGGTTGGATACTCACCGTCGAATGCTGCAGCAGCTTCAGCGATTTTTCGCTTTCACAGGATAACCTATCTGATTGGCCTGCCACAAGCGTGACGTCCGAGAGAGGCAAGTTTGCGTATGCCATCGAAGGCCGTACTGTCAAAGCGATTCTTCGCTTTGACAGAACAGCGGCGTTCGACAGGAAACACGAAGTTGCCCCTTCTGGACATGTTGCTAGGTGGTGTGCCATCGGTGCCGTGCCTACCACAGCATCATGTCCGAGACGGGCAAGTTTGAGACAGCCGTCGAAGGCACAGCGATACTTTGCTTTCACAGAGAGCACTGACCCACTGGCTAGATGGGCCCATGAATCCTATCGTCAGTCCGAGACGGGCAGGTTTACACTTACCGTCGAACGCCGCAGCGAATCTTCGCTTTGAAGAATTTGCCAGTCTGGTTGGCTGGTTTACCGTAGACGCCGGGTCCAAGAGAGGCAAGTTTACAAGTGCCATCAAAGCCACAGCGATGCTTTGCTTTGACTCTGCGTTAGCGTCAGTCAGTACTCCTCTTCTAGGCAGGTTTGGAAACAGGTGTCGATTGCGGCCAGGAGCCATAGCGAAACGTCGCTGTGACTTCCTTTGCGCCTGGCACGGGCAAATCGAGCTCCAACAACACATATCGGTAGCGAGGTATCGCGAACAATGCATTTGATTTGTAGACATGTGACTTGATTCCCCGTCGTCCCATGCACTGGTCAATTGTCGGCATCGTGAGACTTTTGTGATGGGATTGGGTACGGCCGTTTAACCCAAGTGTCGCTTATGAACGCAGCCAAACAGCGCGGACAGAATAACGATTACCTAGAGTAGTAACTTTGAGATCATGCCGTTGATTACGGTCCTGCAAGCATACGGCGTAGGTCCTGCGCCCGAAGTTTGCTGTGCCCCTCACCCACCCGCAGGTTTTGCCGCCCCACAGCACAAATATTTTTTTGGCACGCTTCCAGCCGACCACGCTCCGGTGCCATCCAACGCAAGAAGCTACGGGCAGGCTTTCGCGTATGCTCTTCATAGCATCCCGCTCCAGCAATTGCGGATATATATTGAATAATTTGAAATCTCTCCATCAGCAACCAGTACAACTGGCCTAATGGCCCAATGGCAAGGCGCTTGACTACGATCACTTCGAAATCAAGAGATTCCAGGTTCGACCCCTGGTTAGGTCATAGAAAAACGTTCTTTTTGCTTGATGGCATCAGATAGAGAGGTTAGGAGATGCATGGCATTGTCAAAATGAGAATTGAGATCATGCCACATTTTTTGAACCTCCGAAGCATCTGGCACTCCTAAAGAAACCAACGAGATGCAGTAGAGGAACTCGATAGCCTCTGTGTCACTGCAGTCCTGTCACTCAATGTACACGAAGTATGCCAACAAAGAAAAGTTTATTATATAAACTCTGAGATTATATGCTGCGAAACTATATGATGCATACTTCATCGGTCAAGAGACAGGTGCGATCCCGCAAACAGGAGGGAAACGTGCTGCGCTGAGTTCACCTTACGAACTGTGTCTTTCGATGTCAGGGCGAAGGTGTTACATTCTCACCCACTGTAGCCACAGAGTCTGAAATTATTGAAGATGACGCCGAGTAAGCCGGATACATGTTGGTGCAAGACTCGACGACTAGAGCGGCAAACGTGAAGAAGAAATCCGCAGCGAAGGGTGCAACGACCGACCACGTATCCTCAAAGATCAACAGTGACCATGATTTAGCTAAATCCTCTAAGTAGATCCAATGTGCGTGTTTTTACATTCCCTTGCCGATACTCGGATTTGTAAAAGATAGCTTCTCGGCCGGCCTAGACGATACCTATCTCTATGTGCTACAACGCCGTTTCACCAGTCGCCCTCTAACTATATATTACGCCTAGATGTACACACTATATACCAGTTTAACTGTGTAATCGTCAGAACCGGCGAGAACCTGCCGGACACCGCATAGCTACAGTAGCTCTTGCATGGAACAACCTTGTTGGAGTCTCGGTACCCAGAGGTTTATAGCCGACAGGTATCCCGCAGCATGTGAACGGCATAATTGATACTCAGGTAGAATGCAATCTGCTTCTTGGCAAAGACCACGCTCTACTGATACACGAGTAGTTTGTTTCAATTATGTATTCTCGACTATCTACCTGTGATAGCACGTGCAGCGCCTTTAGTATATTCACTTATTTGCCGCTCGCTGTGCGTAGCCAACGTTCTCACTTGTTGAGTACTACGAAAGCAACAACGTACCCAGGGAGAGACTAATGCTCTTCCACAGTACTGTGGGTAAGACGGAAGCGAGTCTATACATGCGCTGAGCTCGACCATACCCATTTCTTTTTTCGTTAAAATTCATCTCCTAGCCAACATATGAAGGTCGCGCACACAGCACACCTCACATGCACCAAACCTCTTGCACGCGTTGTATATTTGATGTTTTGAATTGTTTAGATATGTACTTGTGATGTTGATATATATATGCCTCGAAGCGAATGCGGTAAACATGCCGAATCAAATGTGACAGTGAAGTCATGCAATCTAAATCGCGAACACGCGATACGACAAGATACGATACGATACGATGCCACGCGATGCGAATGTACCAATATGCTACGCGACGCTAAAAACGCACACAGGCTCATTGACTGTAAAAAAGAAAAGAGAGAAATTCTTGCGGTCAGCGCTTGACCGTCGTATGCTCCCATCGCGCAAACGCCGGTACCCATGCCCCATGCTTCTCAAAAACGCGGAAAGAAAAGATCTGACGTGAGAAAAAAGAAAATGGACAATCTGGCAAATGCCGCGAGGCTCCGCTAATATGCGCACGACAATATAGAGAAAACGAAGGAAAGAAAAAATCAGCTCATAGCCGCCTCGGAAACGTCTCGTAGGCCTTCGGGCAAGCCATTTGCTCGATACAAACATGTAACACGAATGTGCCGGGTCGTGTACCCCCCACTCTCGCGAGTCGAACCTGGCGGACGGGCGTCTATCGGCGAGACCCGGCATTGCGGATGCCGGGTGGGGACGGGACTTGCGAAAGTGGCATCGTGAGAAAGGTCCCCAGCTTTTGCGCAAGCGAGTTATCGTGACGGGGACAGGTCATTCACCGGCTGGTGGGTATGCGACCGTTGCGCAGCGGAAACAGGCGACGCCTGCGTGCATGCGACGTGTGACGTCTTGCTCCGCAACCGTGTGTCGTGTGAGTGTGGAAAGCAGGTCACGGGTCCCGACGAACCACCGAGACGTGCGTATCGCCGAGCGACCTCGCGCGGCCGACCTTCCCATGACTGACTTGACTCCTTGGTCGAAAAACTTGCTTTGACGATGTCTCGCGACAGAAATATCCACGACACGTGCGACCCCATGTCGCGAGTATCCGCAGCCAGATCCAACGGTGCGGGCTGTGACGTTGTCCTATACCAAGACCAGGAATTCTGCTCGATTGGCGGCTCCACTAGAATCCGCGAGCGAGCGCGCGCTATGCCAAGGCAGGTGATGCGATCCTCGGAGACTCTGAATCCGGGATCGTCGAGCTTGACAGGGCTGCATGTCGCGTCTGCCAATGACCAAGGATCGAATTCCTGCCTGTGCATTTGCGATGCGCTACGTGGGTGGAGCTCGACACGACATGCTTGCATGCATGCATGCGACATGCTCGTGTCGTGCTCGTGGTGAACGTGTCGAGGGTACCGTACCGAGTGCTGCGTGCATGCCCAACCCAGCCTGTTGACGCAACAGGACGGCCTGATGAAATTGCTAGCCGTAGCGCATTCACGCAGCGTAAACGGGAGTCCATCTAAGCGGCACACCGCTTGCGCCGTGAAGGGAAGGTGCTTTGCTAGACCCAGGCTTTCTTGGCGGCAACCAAATACGCGCCTTGCCGACGGCCTTTGTGTCGAGCTTGCCCACGCGGCGCATGTTCATTTCGAGCACGATGACACGTAGAAAGTCGCTATTCTCGCGTGGCTCGCGCTGCCGGACGGTAGGTGCGTCGGTTGACAGGACGCGACCTGCTTCGGAAAAGGGATCCGTGGAGCGACTCCGGCGCGACTTTTGTGATCGCCCTCGGCGTTCGTATGTCTGCATTTGGATCATCGGCGCGTGGGGTTCGGCGTCGGCATCGAGGGTAAGAGAGTCGTGTAAATGCATTGACAACTCAGTCGGTGAGATTGGTGAGGGCTGTGGGTTGAGGTATCGTCGCAATTCGGGTGATGGCAGGCCTTCGACGTGCTTCGGTCGCATCTCGCTTGTGTAGTTGGGTGCCAACAGCGACCGAGTAAGGAAGTCATCCGGCGGAACGCTGGGAGCTGTGAAGTTGGAGAAGGACTTGGCGGCTGACTTGAGTGCTTGGAGTGATGCAGTCAGGTTTGACTTGAATGACCTAAATCGTTCGTTTGAAGGCACGGGAGTGACAGTCTCGTTGATGTCTGTCGCAATAATGTCCTCGCATTCGTCCGGTCCAAAATGGAGCAGGGGATGGTCCAAGACGCAGTCCTCCTTTGGTGGTGAAGAGACAATCTTCTCCCTGCGCTCTGGCAGTGACTTTCTTCCCAAGGAATCTGGTGTACTGAGATTGTCCCAATGCGACGCGAACGACGGGTCTTCGTAGTCCAGGGAAGGCGGTAGGGTGGATATTGAGTCGCTCGAGATGGACCTAGACGTCAGGAAAGAGCCCTTCTCTTGCTCCATGCTCAAAACGCTGCTGTACTCATCGTCCGACTCGTCCACGCGACCAAGAAGCAGGTCCATGGGCGAGCCGACCATTGAGGGTGGAGTGTCAGAATCGTCCTGCTTCCACTCCTGTATCAACTCGTCCATGGATATCCTCCGTTCGGTAGTAGTGCGTGGTCGTCGGCGGGTGGGCATCTTGGGGATAGCGGTAACGGCCAGCAAGGCTGCAACGGCCGGTGGTAGGGCTTTCGCATCGTGGCTCTGTGAATTGCGAGACGGTCTGCCTCCATTGTGTCCCCTCATTCTCACAGTCTGTGTTGAAGTTGCCGACTTGATGGGGGTTCGAGGAGGAATAACGACGGGCTGAGACATGGTTGTAGCCTCGGTATGTGAGAGGGACCCGTTCTTATTCATAGATTGCGTGTTGGTTCCCACAGTGACTGGCATGACACTTCTCGGAGAGGGACTGGATCGCGTTCGCGTGCCCATCTTTTCAGGCCTGGAGCGGGAGGTGCGTGAGGATGGCGGAGACGAGTGCTGGAGGTAGGGAAAGGACCTTGGCGAGTACATCATTATCGTCGGCTTGGGCCCTGAAGGCGTTTTCCCCGTGACTAACAGCTGGGACGATCCAGGTACGGCTGGTGCTGGCTAGGCTGGATGTGACGTGCGGCCGTCGGATTTCTTTACGTTATTGCTGGTTGGCGATTGGACGGGTCTGCAAGGGCAGGTCGCGGGCGACATGAGACTACAGGGTTTACGTGTGCCGAAGATCGCCGACGCACTGCTCTGCTTTCGCACACGAGGGTAGGCAAAGTCCAAAAAGGCGAGGATGCTATGAAGAAGTAAATACTATGGTGGTGGACTCGAGGCGGTTCTTCGGTGGTGATAAGGGAGGATGACGACGTTGGGGTCTCAGGGTTATCGGGCGGCGATAAGTAATAAGGGCAGCGTGGGACGTCTCCTGTCGGCAGCCTCCCTATCAAGACAAGACACCAAAAGCACACACCCAGGCCAGCTCGCATCCAGGCACGTTTCTCGGACCAGATACTGGCGGCTGAGGATAAGACTGCGTGGCCTTCTGCCAGCGCCACGCCCACTGCTGCGCTGATCACGCTTCACACGAGCATACCAGCTCTCAGCCCCGGTCGGTCCCGCATGCACAACACTCGAGCAGTCGTGATCGCCTTCGGGCATCCCCTGATTGGCCCTAGCCGCCACCTCCGCCTCCGTCAGCCCTGTCGCGTCCTGGCCCCACGCCGGCCGTCTTCTGGAAGCCATCCTTTTACAGAGAAACCAGCACGTCGCGCGCCATCACATGAGACGTTGGGTCTCATAATCTATACAGTCACCGGCTTAGCATTCACTCAAAATTCACACTAGCGCACACCGTCATCATGACTCCCTTCACCCGCACCTCCCATCTGCTAGGCATCTACGATGACTGTAACGTGGCTTGCAGCTAGGAGTCTGTCTGCACGCAGCGCTCCCCGCGGCAAGACGGTCG